ATAGATATAGATGAAAAGATTGAGTGCGTTGTCCACGAAGTCGTCGTGGAAAATATTATTGTGATGACGAATAATATATTGAACATCCAACCACAATCGAGCACTGTCAATCCATCCGAGGAACCAATGCACGATTTACCGGATACGCTAGTGGCTAGTCGAATGTATTGTAAAAGCCTCTTTCCAACTTCCGGTGGCGCCGCTCTGTCATTGTTGAGCGCGGTGCACGCAGCGAACAAGACGAACTGAGAACTACTTATCCGACGCACAGATCATCGAGGACAGCAACGCCATGCGTCACTGTGCGTGTAAACGAAAACAAATATTCGGTTCCGGCTAATAGTCGGGACGTATCACTTTATCGATCGAGCCAGATCCGGTCAACAACTATAATAATATTGTAGTCAATTTATTGTAGCTGCCGATCACATAATACGATTGTCGAAAAATGTCCGGCTTCCGTAATTATTAATGTAATATTATTAAATATATAATTAACAATATTATGTTATATTATAAGCGTATAAATAAATTGACACCTAACTATAATAATATTACACATCCGTGTTTATACCTATGTCTGTGCTTGTGTACTAGTATAGGCGTATATACCTATAGGCTATATAGATATAGTAAAATATTATAATATATATTATTACCTTATATTATATATAACTATACGACAATATGATGTGAGGTTGTTTGACACAAATAAATAAATGTAATATATATTTTGTGATCCATGTTGTTGGAGTGCTTAATAATTTCTTAAATAAAATCTAATATAAAATGACCGGGCTACCAAGCCATAAATCATAATATGGTATCGATATCCGCCCGTAAGATATCTGAACATCTCGGTCACGACTCATGCCAATCCAAGTAAATTCAAGTTTTATTAACATAAAATTTTGTCGTCGAACACTTATTATTGAATAATAATTCATCAGTCATTATAAAATATATTGCTAGGTAGCCCGCAAAATATTTATCGACTACTCCGCTTGTCTAAACTTTTAATACTTATAACTCATAAACTACTCGTTATAAATTCGATTTTTATAATTCAAAATACTTAGAAAAATATTCTGCTTTGGAATATGAAATTAAAACTCTATGTTGTCATTCAAAAAAGTAAAAAACTTCAAAAATTATAAAGATAAAAAATATTTAAAAATATAATTTTTTTAATAAAAACGTTATTTTTTTGACGACTTGAAACTATAAAAAAAAATATTTTCAAAAATATTAATACTTTTTGAAATAATGAGTGTTCGATGATAAAAGAAGCACCCTGTATACACACAAAGTACGACGAAAAAATATCTAACAGGACTTACTTGTCTTAAGTTGACTGATATTATTTTGAAATAGATGTTACGCGGTACAATATACACACAGGACACACCTGCAGTGCCGCAACTATAAATTATTAGGAACATCGCAAGGATTTACTTTGAGGCCACAACGTTATTAGTCATTACTTTTCATTAACCACCCCAAAAAATAAATACCAACGATTCCTACTCTATGTTAATGTAAAGTTAAAATAACTGAAAAAATAGGTCATACGACTTTATTCTAGCAAAATTTGTAATCATACACTTGTACCGTGTTATTGCTATTGAAGTAACTTATTTTAATATTAGTATTACGGAAAGTCGGTTTAATTTTTGACGAAAAAATTGAATTTACTGTATTAAATATAATTTATAATAGTCTACATTTTTATCATATATAATATATTATATTATTATTTATTATTGTTAATAAATGTGTAACCAAGTACAAAATATTTTTAAATATTTGTGATTTTGATGAATTTATGTCAAAATTAAATTTTAAACGAGCCTTGTTTTTATTCGGTTTCATTACAGCTTAGCACTGGTCCATGGAAGTATGGAACCGTTTTCACTTTTCATGTATAATACTTAGAGCTTTAGCGCTTTTCAGCACATATTATTGTCATAGACGTCTGATCTGACCTCTCGAGATGGATCAATATAAATCCGTGTAGGCACTATTTACCAAGTAAATACGTAAATACGTTGTATCTGGCGTTAGAAAACAGCAAACCTAAACAATACATATTACGATCGAACAGTTGACGTAGATGATTGATATTGGACAGGGGCGTACCCAGGAATTTTTAAAGGGGAGAGATCCAAATTTTTTTGACTGTAAAAAGTATACAATAAGTGATTTGCACCTTAAGAATTTTAAATTTTGTTTATCAATTGGGGGTCCAGACCCTAATCCCCCCCCTAGAGTACGCTCCTGATATTGAAAAAACAAACAGTATTATTATAGTTATAAGCAATGTATCTGTAAAACGACCAAATTATTCTATTTAAGTGAGTTTTTATACAATATATTTACGTTTTTATATACACTTTTAAGTGATGAAACATAATTTATCGCATATAATTTTTCCGGATATTATGTAAAATGGTGATAACTGATAAGTAATTTAAACTTAAAATGTCTATGATAAAAAACTGTGTTAATAATAGTTTTTAGAGTTTTGGTTACAATATTAACTACATTTGAGAAACATTGTTTTTAAAGGTTAAATCTTAAGTTAAAAAATTGAGCATTTAATACATTTTAAACCAAGTACAAAATAATATGAAAATATTAGTGATTTTTAATTTTTGATGAATTTAGGTATGTCAAAATAAATTTTAAACGAGCCGTGCTTATATTCGGTTTTATTACAGCTTCGCAATGTTCCATGAAAGTATGGAACCGTTTTCACTTTTCATACATAATACTTAGATCTTTATGGCTTTTGAACACATATTATTGGCACATACCTTAGACTGTCGTATAGACGCCTGATCTGACCTTTCGATATGGATCAATATAAATCCGTGTACGACTGTAACTGACAATAGAAACAGCAAACGTAAACAATAAATATTACGATGGAACAGTTGACGTAACGTATCGGTAAAACCACCAAATTATTCTATTTAAGTGAGTTTTTATACAATATATTTACGTTTTTGCTTACACTTTTAAGTGGAAACATAATTTATCGCATACAATTTGTTCAGGTTATTATGTGGAACGGTGATAAGTAAATGAAAATGTGATGCCTCAGTTACGTAATCTTTACCTTGAAAAATTATCAATATATAAAATATAAAATAATTAGTAAAAAAAGCGCATTGAAAAAAATTACTTTTAAGACAATATTATTAATAAGAGGTAAACCTACGTGTTCCATTAATTGGGGAATAAATCGTTTTCGGGAACCCAAAGGAAATTATCCTTTACGTTCCATCGAATAACACTTTCAAATACCTACAATACAATCAAATATCAATATACTTAAAAATTAATTAGACTACACATTATTATATGTAAGTAGGCTACTTGATTTGTCCTTCCATAATGCTAAAATAAAACCATTATGAATTGTACGTTGCTTAATTTTTATTCAGATGTAACTTTAATAGTAGGATCACTTTATGATCGAATACAACTCCACAATTATCTGTTTCTTGTTTAATATCACAGAAAACCTCATTTCTAAAAACAAACATATCTTGTTACTAATATGTATCTATCAGATTAAAGCACTTACTGTTTAATAGAGCAAGGATTGTAATAATTTGTAATTAAAATTTGTCATAATAATATAAAATATTAAAAATGTATATATTCACGGTGGGTTATTATTTCGTTTTTTTTAGTGTTTCACAGCCACACATTATGACGTGTGTCTCGCATAAACTACCTGAAAATTACTATCTAGCCATACTAGCTATTGGTAATTATAATTAGATTATATTTAAATCATAATATATATGTTAAATTAATATTTTAAATAGATGAAATATAAATTATGTTTGTACCCGACTTTAGGATTTAGATACCAAAACCTACAGAAAAATATCGAATTGTTATTGTTCAATAATATTATAATCTCAAATTTAAAATCAGTCAGCCTACGATCGATATAATTAAGTATATATTTGAAGATAATATTGTGGATAAAGTAATTTATATATAACCTATTTACATGGAGCCATGTATTAAATGTTCAAGCTTTTTTAATGAACAAATAAAATTTTATTGACAATTATAGATTAAAAACTAAAAAAATCGAAAACTGTAAATGTTCGTAAATAGCTCAAAGCGAGTCAAAATATTTTAAAAATTGCATGCTTGATTATATTCCTAATTTCATTAAGAAAATTAAAATATAAACATTCACTGAAATTTTCATGTACAGTTATTCATTTTTGAATTACAACAAAATAAGAAAATCGCTACATGAGAAAACGAGTGAATATCCAATGTTGTAAAAATTCAAACTATTCAAACGCTCATAAAAATTTAATTTGTCTTTCTTATAGAATTTTTTTTTTTTTTTTTGATAAAGTTTGACAATCTTATGATAAAATAATGTATTGGGTATCTTAGATTTAAAAACAAATTTTTTTATGAATTTCTAACTTAAAATAAAAATTTCACATTTTTGATTTTTAAGTGTTTTGTCAATATTTGAATTTTAAATGCTTAAAAAAAAAAAATTGTGACTTGATTTTAATACATATATTTCAAATGTCTACTATATGTTATGACTACCTACTTCTAATGGGCTACTGCTGGTGTCGACAATGTAACGCCGCTGATAAAACATTGAAAACTCTTTGTAATGTTACAATAATCAATTAATTAATAATTAATAATAATAAAAATTATAATAATTATATTAACTACAATAATTAATCGTAGGTACATGGCGTGTATCAGATAATATATTTTATTTTTTATCAATAACTAATAGTTAACAAAAAAATAAAATAAAATTGATAATTGGTAAGTTTTTTCGTGCGTTAAGTCACTAGTCAAATGACAAGGTCGTCATTAGCCAGATGACAATTAACCTATCTCCCTTCCCGTATATGATATGAGTGTTAACGCCACGTCGAGATTAACAGCGCAGCAAGCAGCATCAGTCAGTCTGATTCGCATCGTTTGTAAACATGGAAACTAAATTATACACATTGGAAGACATAAAAAAGTTATTTCAAGAGTTAATTTATACAGTTTGGTTCTTATTCCTAGTTTGTAATGTTTGTACAGTACAATATGTTTGCATGTCAATGTCTGTCAAACGAAAACTCGTCGAATATTGTTTCGATGCATCGTCCCCATTTTCATTTGTCAGTCTATGCATTTTGCGCTTCTGGCATGAATTTATCAATTCCAATTGGCCAACCGATTGTTTGAACAAAACATATGGGCCATATTATTGGGTCAACTTTGATTGTGCTTTGTATTTGTTAGAAAATGGATTCTTTCAATACAACAGTGAAAAACTCATTGCCATTGCCGTGTACAATCATAGGCTGTTTCGTCGTATTGTCGACACTAAGATTGTTGATCCAGTCAAATTACTACAAGATCCGGCTTTCAACCGGAAGGAATATTCAAGAGAAGTACAGGCACACGACGATACATTATTGTATGTACTAGATTCCATGGGAAAAAACAATGAAACGCTAATACGATTGGCACTTATTGGACACTGTGCGGGGATACAGCTATTGATTAATGAAAACATTCAATTGTACGAGGGAGTGGCGATTGCAACGGCTTTGAATGGTCACAGTCATTGTTTGGATTTCCTCATAAAACACAGTTGCCCTTTATCGAATCAAATTGTAGACGCATTAAAACATGAATCTCGAAAATCCAATTGTTCGTATCAAATAAAAACTTGTTTACATGTAGTTGATGATTATTTTGAAAAATGTAAATAAAATATTGTTTGTATGTCTACAATAAATGATTGTATGTTTTTTTCATGACACAAAAGAATGGACACAAGTCTCTCATGCAATCATTAATGTCGAACGTGACACGTAATTTGATAAATACACACTACAACATTTTAACACAACACAATACAACTTCAACACATCAACACCTGTAACTTCAACACACCAATACCTTTAATACATTTAAATATGCCCCTCGAATTTGTTATAAGTCAAAAAGGCAAAACATTTTTATTATTAAATGGATATTTACATAACATACATCAAAAATACGATGAAAAAATTGTGTGGCGTTGCACGGAGTACAAGAAATTTTCTTGTAAAGGACGATGTCATACTACAACAGACAGTGAATCAGGTATTATAATATTATTTTTAATTAAATGCATTTATATATGTATAATTATCAGTGGCGCCAAAATATATATTTACTATATTTACTAATATATATTTATTTAATCATTAAATTATATATATTTATCATGGACATTTTATATTATGACTGTCAATAATTTTGATTTTATATTATTTATCCTACAATTATTATACTTATATTTAAATTTAAATTATATATTTTTTTTGACTGTCAATAATTTTGATTTTATATTATTTATTTATCATAGAAACACAATTATATTTATCCTACAATTATTATACCTACATTTATATTTTATATTTTTAGTGTCAATAACTTTAATTATTTAAAAATACCGGATATTTTTAACCCGGTTAATTTGAGTACAGGATATTTTTGCACTGGATCAAATGTCGTGGAACCAATGTCGAACAACAATCGCCATTGATCGAGATGCGCTAGCGCGATAAATCTTCATATTCTGCCTAGTGTACAGTATACAATAATAAAAGGTGGGCATTAATAGGTACTAGTTAAAAAGTTATAATTTTTTTGACTCAACTAGTTGGTTACTTTTCTTTTCAACTTATAAACTAAATAGTTTAATTGACAGTTGAAATAACTTAACATTCCTAAGTTTATTCAAATATAATCCATCAATAAAATTTTTTTTAAATTATTTGTTTTTATGATTTTTTACGTAATAAAAATAAAATAAAAATAATCCAATACCTACTATAATCAAACTAATATTTCTATTATTTTTCTTGATAAAAATATTTTGTAAAAATATATATTTTAGTATATAGATTAGATAGGCATAATATTATATGAATTTAAACTGCTATTTGCAGCAAACAAAAAACTTAAAAAACTTAATATTTGTTAAATTATTAATTTAGATATTTAGTATAGTCTAAATATTTAATAATCATGTAAAGTAAAATATGTACATACACTGTACATTACATTGAAAGTTCAATAAAAATTGATATTGTAAAGTTGGAAATTAGAAAGAACTCAGTCACACTTTATGTGATCCACATACCAGGTAAAAAAGTAGATCAACTCTTTTTAAGCTGAGTTAAGTTAATATTTTTTCCCTAATAACAGTAATAGTGTAATAGTTTGTTGTATTAGTTAATAAAGCATTAAATAATAATAATTTTAATAATAATAGAGAGATTTTTTGGCCCCCAATACAAATTTAATAAAACTTATTAGTTATAAAGGAAATCTGCCAACTTTCCCAATAAGTAATTAAAAAAACAGGGACCCTCTTCGGTATTGAGATGGTCTATCTATTATACGTTATTGTCTATAGGTTATTATAATAGATTTAACTTTCAACAATAAAAATAATAATAAATAATAACTCACGAATTTTACGGTGCGTGGACTGGCCAGCTAATATATACTATTATAATTTATAACCATAATAATACACTCGTATATTATAATAGATCAAACTTAGCTATTGGATCTGGTACGAATGCAAATAATTAAGCCTTTGACCGATAATATAAGTACCTGATAATAGTTGCTGCACAATAAATATAATACACACTATAAGCATAACAGAATACGCTAAATTTAATAGTATAAATCATTCGTGCGGAGCTTCGCGCTTTTTTAAGTAGGGATGTACAAAAAATTGCGTACAATTATACTTTTTTGTTTATTAGGTACAACGAAAAAATAATTTAATATAATCGTCGACCTAATACTCTTGACTTCACACGTCGCACTAATAACAGCTAGGTACGGACAAAATAAGGCGTGGCACTTTTTTTTTTCTAGATCTACGAGAAAAACTGCATCATATAAAATAATAGTGATTACCTAACAGCTGATTATAATAATATTTAAATGAGTATTATTGTGTTGGGAATAATTACTTATATGTTACAGTCGTTATAGATATCGGCAGCGGCATAAGGCGATAACAGTAATTGGCTGTGTGCGTCTTATTCGAATCGAACGGACATGAAATCATTGTATACAAAAAACAATTCTGAGCATATTATATTATAACAATATTTTTATATTACAAAAAAAAAAACTTAACACCGTATTCTACGTTGAAACATGTTGTCATATTTATTGAAATATTGTACAATCTGTAAAAAATATATTTATAATAAGCACATTGGAGGGATACATAATAGGTCATGGCTGGCTTGATTGAAGAAGCTATTCAATGACAGCACTTCATGGTACGTTGAAATATATATATATTATTATATACTTGATTTATGATACTATTATATATATTACTAATAAAAAACATTGTACCCGTCGTCTTGGAAATATTAAAGTTTGACAAAATCTGAATTTTGTTAATTTGCAATCCAAAGTTCAAATATCGCGTAGTCTACTACAAGTCGCAAGAGCAAACACGACGAGCTACGACAAAATCGAGATCACTCGTTACTCGTTTATGAGGTCGTTTAATACATTTTCATCATATGCGTAACTACGGGTCCATGGCCTGACCTAATACTGACTGGATAACACACTGACTTGATCAAATTTAAAATTAAAATTAAAAACTTATTTTGTAATTTTAATTTTTTTTCAATATTCATAATTTGGCATGTCCTAGTGAAATTTTCTAATTTCCTCTTGCGCCGATATGTGTATAATTTACCACCGCTTATCGGTCTAAAATATGTGGCAAAATATGTGTGCTGTGATCCTCTTAAATAATACCGACTTAGACCGGACTAGGTCATCATAGGCGGTCCGAGGATTTTACATCAGTTATATACAGCATAGATTGCTTGTTTCTAAATGTTAGGGGGATCGGAGATGTGTACGAAGTTAGATTTACTGAGTATATCAATGAACCATAATTTAAATTAGATTATATTATATATAATTGTTGAAACTATAATAAATAGTAATTTTATTTCCTCCGATCTTGGTTTCTCTCCATATGATAATTTAGGCGCGGATCCAGTCAGGGGCGGTAGGGGTGACTGCCCTCCCCCTCACCCATTGGTTGTATTATTTAAATTTAATATTTTGTGTTATCCTATGTAAATGTATTGTAATATTATTCAGTCACAAATCGTCGTATTTTATTTTAATAACACACATGTATAAATTGTTGATAACAATATTATGACCGATTGATGGACGACGACCGTCGACTGCCAGCTGACGCGTGGCGGCTGAGCACCTCATAGGATTTTGTCCTAAAAATATCTAAAAATATTTTCCATATTTGACTGTCAGAAATATATTATTACATTTAAATTTGTTTGTAACATTTTATTGTGAAATTTTAAAAAGGTATTTGATAATAGAAGGGAAATTTTAAATTGTAAATAATTCAATAAAGGCATTCAATTCAGCTTAAGAAAAAAAATATTCATTATAATTAATAAGCAAATAATTATAATTGCAGCATATTTATAATATATATATAAATATATACTAGTATTTAACAGTAGGTAAATAGTAAACATATTTAGATATTTATAATCGGCCCCTGCCGTTAATGTAGACTGGACGTCGCCTGTGATAATTATAATTTATAGATGTGATCGTGACTATATAAATACCACTGTTAGCCTAGGTCAGACTTCCCCCCTCCCTTAATGCTGGCTTGATCATATCAGAACTACGACCTAACAACAAAGTCATTGCCTTGGGTAAATTACTTTACAATGTTGATAAGTAATATACAATTGAGTAGTTACTCATTACATTAAATAATTTTATTTAAATTACATTATTTTTATCACGTTCGTTACTTTTTCATTCAAAAAGTTTGGCTTTAAAAATAAAGTTAATTTTAGATTATAAGTGGAACGATGAATGTATTGATTTTACAATGATGTGTGTGTTTTTTTAAATTTTTAAATTTTTTTTATTTTATTTGTGTCTGTGTACATGATAAGTAGTTGAAATAATGTTTCGATTTTCAACTTCAGTATCTTGTTCGATTGGAAAGTGAATATCGTTGGTGCATTGAGGAGGTTAAAATTTAGAATTCCCAGTTTTTTTATAAGCATTTAAAGTTCAAAAATTGACAAAATATGGAAAAATCACGAAAATTTGCAAATTATTATGAGTTATGGAGTTAAATCTAAGATTTTAAAAGTAATACAAGATTCCTTATAAGATTATCTAACTTTATCAAAAAAAAAATGTCCATAAGAAAGTCAAATTAAATTATTATGAGCGTTTGAAATTCAAATTTTTACAACATTGGATATTCACTCGATTTCTCATATAGTGATTTCCTTATTTTGTTGTAATTCAAAAACAAATTTTTGTTGTACTTTTCAAATATTATTCGTGGATACATGAAACTGAAAAATCAAAATATTATGGCCTATCCATACAATCTACCATAGTATAAGGAATAAAAAGTATTCTCAATAATAAGCCTGTGCATATTTTTTTTTATTACCATTGATATGTATATAATATGTCCTAAACCTAGACTGACATACCGTCTCCGCTCAGAATCGTTTTTCTTATACAATGATATTATATCATTGAATTCAAATTTAACACCATCCATAACACTTTACAGAGACCCACTTGTAACCTTCTGTACTACAGCAGAGCGACTTTTTCGAAGTAAATTTGTAAGAAATGTGTATAATTCGTA